AATTTTAACTTGAATAAAGCCTATTAAACGGCATCTTTCATAGTTTTCTCACAACAAGCACAACACTTCTACATTTACTGCACAACAGCAATCCTTTTATATCATATTTACATATTGTTGAAATATTCATGTCCATGTATTTATAGATAGGAATGTGCATGAACTTGTCCCTAGCTTGAAGCTCCCTACCTTTTGCATTATTTGTCCTTCTGTTAGTAATCAAACAAGACAATAAATTATTTGAATTTCATTCCATTTGTTTACCTCGCAATAAAGTGCTAAACCATATTAAAACCTGTACAAGTGACAGTACAACGAGCGATATATCCAAGTCTTTTGAACATTGCGTACTAACAAATCTCATTGTGTTTTTCGAGAGAAACCATTGATCCGTTTGTTCGATCGCCACATTTTTAAAAAAGCTTGAAATGCAAAATTCACAGGGAAGATTGAAGAATTTCGGAGATAAAAACTGTTTGTCTTCGAGTTTCTACCTCTACAATTTGCCCGCGGATTAGAAAAGTAACAATTACATGTCCTAAATTCTTGGAGTCACATGACCAGCGTTTACCAGGGCTTTGGCACCGATATTAGAAAATCAGGGCGGGCAGGCCCTGGGTACGAGTATCGTTGTTGATCTCTTCATAAGATCTTTTCTGTCTGTGACCGACTTGTCATGACCGACATCATCATCATATTCTTTCTGTCCGTGACAGACATCATCATCTTTTCTCACCTTGATTCATTTGCATCGGAAGCTCTTCATCTTGCCAATTGCGTAGAAAGCTTTCGTGTTGTTCGGGTGTCTGTAAGATCAGGTACTATTCCTAACTGTTTGTTTTCTAAATGCCATTCCTTTATCCGCAAAAAATCTCCATTTTCCTCTCAAACAATAAACATTCTTCCAATTTGTTTAATACATTTTGACTTTCCAAAGCCAAAAGGTCCGCTATCGTCTGACATTCTTTAATCTTCATTTCCATATCTAAACCGAAAATTATTTGTGTAAACAAAGTTATATACCCTTTAAGTATATATCAAAACATTTACCTGGAAAGCAAGTCTGCTGTCAAACAAAATATCCACTAAAGCTCTTTCGATGTAAACAATATATAGTCAATAACTTCCCTCAATGAAAACTATGAACGCAATAACGATAATCACTTGTCTCCTCTTTGTATTTTCCATCCAACACAGCCAACCAATCAGAGATGGGCATGATTATGACGTAGTTGGTGTATGTACACCGGATACGTACACCACACTATATAAACCAAATCATTACTATTCACAATCAAATACTCAAAATGAACTCATGTGAGCAAGTATTCTGGGCAGTGTTTGAACGTAGACAAAGTTGTAACTTGGGAAATCAAAAACCTGTGTAATCTAATGAATCTTATCTTTTCGGATGACTTTGAAAGAAAAATGCTGTGGTTGTGAAGTAAATCATCCAAGTCAGAGAAGACATGATTGTATCATGATGTCCGAAGAGGGATGGATAATGCATGGAATGGAGCAGTACAGCGAGTGATCAAACATCAAACAGTTTCGAAACAATTCACCGAAGCAATACGCGTCATTAAACTAGACCCACATGAACATGTCGTTGAACATTTCAAAAATCTAACCAAAGATCCCGAAACAACTGCCGAATTCCTAAAAGATCTGAAGTTTAACTCAAACTTTCCCGAATATCAAGTTATACACCCTTTAAGTATATATCAAAACATTTACCTGGAAAGCAAGTCTGCTGTCAAACAAAATATCCACTAAAGCTCTTTCGATGTAAACAATATATAGTCAATAACTTCCCTCAATGAAAACTATGAACGCAATAACGATAATCACTCGTCTCCTCTTTGTATTTTCCATCCAACACAGCTAACCAATCAGAGATGGGCATGATTATGACGTAGTTGGTGTACGTACACCACACTATATAAACCAAATCATTACTATTCACAATCAAATACTCAAAATGAACTCTTGTGAGCAAGTATTCTGGGCAAAGTGTTTGAACGTAGACAAAGTTGTAACTTGGGAAATCAAAAACCTGTGTAATCTAATGAATCTTATCTTTTCGGATGGCTTCGAAAAGAAAAATGCTGTGGTTGTGAAGTAAATCATCCAAGTCAGAGAAGACATGATTGTATCATGATGTCCGAAGAAGAGGGATGGATAACGCATGGAATGGAGCAGTACAGCAAGTGATCAAACAGTTTCGAAACAATTCACCGAAGCAATACACATCATGAAACTAGACCCACATGAACATGTCGTTGAACATTTAAAAAATCTAACCAAAGATCCCGAAACAACTGCCGAATTCCTAAAAGATCTGAAGTTTAACTCAAACTTTCCCGAATATCAAGCCATTTTGGGGGTATCTCAGCTACTGGAGCAAAGAACATTAAACGGTTCATAGTTTAAAAACAATATATTTTTTAAACAAACATTGTTTATTAACGGAAGAATATATTTTACAAGTTATTAAAATGTTGTTGAAGTTTATCTTTGAGATAGTTTTGATACGCCTTTTGTTCATCTTTTTCCTTGCTCTTGAACTTTTCTTTCTTTCCTCTAACATAATATATAAAGGTAGGGGGGTTGCTGAAGAGGCACTCTGCAAAAGGTTCCAATGGATCTGCTTTAGGATTAGACAAATCGCATAGGACTTTGATTAATTGTCTTGGTATTCTTGAAATAGTGATTCGATCAGCATAAGATCAGGGTTTTCTTCCAAGCTCAACAAGTGTTCCGTGAAATATTCTTCAAACGGAACATTCAGGATTTCAATAACATTAGTAAATTCATGCCAGACGGCGTAATTAGTTCAGGCTTTCTCTATAACATGAAAACCTTACATCTCCCATTTTTCAAACTGATCCAACATTAAGCAGTCTTGGTCACATATTTTACACCCGCAACAAAACAGGCTAAATTTCCTTTCAATGCTATGTGCATTATTATTTCTATCAGACGAAACTTTTTGTTTGAACCGTTCATTATGAAAACCAAAGTGTAAATGAATTTGTGTTACTGATCGATTCAAATATACCCCACATGTTTTCACCACCACATTCCAGTACTGCATACTCATTACTTCCGGCATTTTCCTGTACTGCATACTCATTACTTCTGCCTCTCTATTGGACCCGCTCCTGCATACTAATTACTTCCGCCACTATACTGATGGGGTAATACTACTATTATAGCAACCAGCAGGGATAGTAAATTTATTAGTTTTTCTTGTACAATTGGCTGTTGTATAGTATAATATATTATATGCGATATGCAGCGACCAACATTGATTTGTGATTCCTCTTTAGTTTCCCACGCACAGAAAAAAATTTGAAATACAAGTAAGTACCCAGCATATGGCTGGTTCAAACTTTTTTGGGGTGGTGATGTTTTATTACTAGTTTTAGTGACATATTACTCTTAAAACTCTTAAGGGCGCAATAAAAGTTGTTGTTGAAATATAATATCCTTTCATATAAAGGCTCAGACTTGTGTTGAACATTCTGTTCAATATATAAACGAACATATGTACTTATCATATTGTACTTCCGTACATATTATTCCCTCTGTTCCTCGCATATTCTTTGAATGCACTACTTATTAGTTTTGTTAGTCATTGTATGTGTATTTGTATTTCATAATATTTTGTTTCACAGCAGGGGCCTTAATGATTATGGCGTGCGCAAATTCATCATGTGAAAAACGTGTGGGACTTGCCGACACATAAGACAATGTTAATGTGGGTCGTTAATACATAGATTTTGTCCAGAGTACAGCCAATTTTGGTCCACAATTAAAATTGTAAGCATTGTAATCTGGAACAATCGTTTTAGTGCAAATCATATTATATTGACATTGTGTGAGACATTGTTGTATTCATAGCAATATTTTCATATCTGTGGCAAAATCTTCAAGTTCCTAATTACAGCATTGCAGTATAAGAGTAAAAGGTTCCGTGATAATATTTTTGTACATATCCATGAATGTTTAGTGTGTCAGCAAGCCATGTTTTAAAACATTAAGTTAATTTCCATTATCACCGCCTATATCTTGTCACATGACCAGTTTCCATGGAAACCAAATAGTTGAAAAATATTGGCAGTTGATTTCCAACATCTCACCAAAAAATGAGAGTCATAGTGTGCTTTGTTAATTTTTAATTAATTTTTAAAGAGTTTTCATATTTCCCCACTCCTTACGAAATTGGAGCCATGCATTAATGCACCTGAGATGCACCCCCCCCCCAATTGTTGGTCTAGCTATGGCCCTGCCAATAGACTTTAAACTAACAAAACATAAAAAGGGAGTATTTAGTCATTTGAAAATAATACTATATGCACACTTTAGATTCCATATAGTGGTACATGTCAAACACAGAAAATCCTTTTCTACAAGATTTATCCCTGAGTCGGCGGTGCGAAGCGCCGTGCGAGGGTACTAATTCCCCCCAGCTATTTACACCCGGGGAAACGAAAGCATTAGCGAAGTTTAAAAGTTCATCAATCATTGCGGGCGTTGGTCACCAACGATGGGTGGACATCCTCACTGATCTCAAAAAATATGGCGGACTGTCATGAATAGCGAACACTGATTGGTCAATTTTAAAATTTGTTGTTGTATGGCAAATGACGACGTCAACTGACAGATACTTCATGAAAATAATTTGGTTTTTGCACTACAGTATTTTGTACGTTTGCAAAAACTTTTGACAACTTTAAAAGCAATTTGTTATATAAAAAGTTTCATAAAAACAATTACGGTATCAAATACCATTGAAAAAATATGGAACCAAACGAAGAGCGACAAGAAAACGATAAGAAAGCCGAGCGTCTGGCGAAAAGAAGGGAGCGAAAACAACAACGTTTGCTCGAGGAGACTGCTGAGGAAAGAGAAACTCGCCTGGGAAAGCGCAGAGAAGCATGAAAAAAGACCGCTGAAGCAAAAGGTAAGCAAAATGAGTATATGAGAGTCTATAGGCAACAGAAACAGGCTGGAGAAAGTGCCGAGGAAAGAGAAACTCGCTTGGTAAAACAAAGAGAAGCTTGGCAAAACAAAGAGAAGCGTGGCAAGAAAGGACTCCAGAAGTTAAAGGTAAGCAGAAAGGGTATAAAAGGGTGTATGATTTAGATAAAATGCAAAATGAGTCTGAAGCAGAAGGAACAAACAGGCTACAAAAGAGAAAACAAGACCAAGCAACCGAAACAGTTGATGAACGAGCAAGAATACTTGAAAAACTATGAGCAGTTTTTCACACAGCAAGTTCAAATGAAAATTACCAAGAATCAAATGAGCAGTTGAGTATGTCTGTTGATGCAACTGTAGATATATCTGTTCCTGAAGCAGACGAGGATAGTGAGTCTGTACATGAAGCAGAGGGGCCAGAGGTGAGTAGAAATGAATATTTACATGAGGGTGGTTGGCAAAATGTTGACAACCCTCTGCGGCTAGATTATAGAATACCTGTCCACTTTTGTGACTATTTTATTTTCGTGATACGATGATACGAAGTGAAAGTCATGACGTAATCATTTTAGTAGCGTGTTATTATAAAAAGACTATATAAACTCCTGTTATTTAGTGAAACTGGGCAAGCTATTTTTTAGTGATACGATGATACAAAGTGAAATTAACGCAAAATATCACTACCATAGTGTATTCCTCGTTCTTCAAAGAACACGCAACAGATCACTACTGTAGTATATTCCTCCTCAATAAAAATACACATAATATCACTATTACACTGTATTTCTCGTTCTCAAAAAAACACGCAAAATATCACTATTATAGTGTATTGTTTGTTCTCAATAAAAACACGCAAAATATCACTACCATCGTGCATTCCTTGTTCACGTAGCGTGTTTTAAAATGGCTTTTTCTCTTTTCACTAACATTTCAGCAACGTAACAACCTCTCCTATTACCAAACTTCCTTACTTAATTACCTCATTTATCACCTACCTGTCAAGATCATATCACAATAAACCGATCGAATGTCATACAGTGTCACTTCATCGCTACTGTTAAACTCTTCGCAAGCGCACTTATAATAATTACGTCACTTCATTTCACATCGTATTATTGAAAAATATACCTTGCCCAGTCTTATTAAATAACACGCACTTATAATAATTACGTCACTTCATTTCACTTTGTATCATCGTATCATTGAAAAATATACCTTGCCCAGTCTTATTAAATAACGCGCACTTATAATAATTACGTCACTTCATTTCACTTCGTATCATCGTATCACTGAAAAATATACCTTGCCCAGGCTTATTAAATAACGTGCACTTATAATAATTACGTCACTTAATTTCACTTCGTATCATCGTATCATTGAAAAATATACCTTGCCCAGTCTTAATAAATTACGCGTATTTATAATAATTACGTCACTTCATTTCACTTCGTATCATCGTATCATTGAAAAATATACCTTGCCCAGTCTTATTAAATAACGTGCATTTATAATAATTACGTCACTTCATTTCACTTCGTATCATCGTATCATGATAACAAGTTTAGCTTGAAAAATGGACGGGTATTCTATAATCGCTCCCCCTCTGCATGAGCTAGAGTTTGTACAAAAGGAAATGCACAGTTTTCATTTAGATCAAGAACATTTAGAGCATCGACAATGTATAATGTGTAAAGAAGCTTGGCCGACACGATAGAACTTAGCATCAGAAGTATACATTTGTTACCGGTGTAAAAGAGACAAGAAATCACCCAAGAAATTCAGTGCGGAGAATGACATGGACCCAGGAATAGTTCCTGAACAATTGAGAGGTTTGACACAGGTAGAAGAAATGTTAATTTCAAGGGTTTGTCCCATTATGAGAGTATATAGAAAACATGGGGGTCAGAGGGGGTATAAAGGACATGTACTTAACTTACCACAAGATATTCAAAGTTTCTTGAATAGGTTGCCTTCTCGTGTGGCAGACTTGCCTGTCTTGATTGTGCGAAGACATGGTGCAGAAGACTTTACTGTGCGTCGACACAAAGTTCTTGAGGCTGTACTATGGTTAAAGACAAACAATCCGTTCTTTAAAAATATTGAAATTGATAGAGATGTCATCCAAAGTTTACCAGAAAATGGTATTCCTGATAAGCTAAGGTATGTCATTGATGAAAAATGAGCTTTCAGTTCATGTTGAAAATGAGGGGCCTCCCCAAGACCCAGTAATGAGTGCTAATGCAAGTGTGGAAGAGTTAGTTTTAGGAATTAGTGGCAGTACATCGTTTATTCCTATGCGTCAAAGACAGAGAAAAGAAGGTGCGGCTATCCAAGATGCAGTAAATGAGGTTGATCCATTAGACTGGCCATCTACTGAAGGTAATCTCATTAATGAATTTAAAACAGATGGTTTAGCTACTATGGCCTTTCCTACATTGTTTCCTTATGGGAAGGGTGACCCAACAAATAGGGCAAGACAACATGGTATAACGTTAACCGAAGCATTCAAACATTTAATGAAGTTTGCAGAGAGGCTTGCAGATGGTAAGTTTGAATGTTTCGGTTTCCTTATTGGGCGTTAAACATGAAACAACGACATCAGCTCTTGTCACAAGCAAACGTTTACTTGCGTCAACATCCATGATGCAAACATGACAATGGAAGAACTGAAACAGATGGTCAATTCCATGAGTGCAAATCAAATGGTAAATAGGTTGCAGTGCTATGTGTCCAAAGTACAAGGTACGAATCAGTATTGGTATTAGCGGCTGCAGGAATTGCTGACCCTGATTGAACAAAAAGGCTGCCCTACTTTTTTCTTTACCTTTAGTGCAGCTGACATGCATTGGCCAGACTTACAGAGGCTGTTGCAGAATGATGAAGGTGCAAGCAGATCTGAGCGAGCACAAGCTGTAATCGACAATCCCCATCTGACTGATTGGTTCTTTATGCAGCGGCTGCAGGAGTTTGTCAGACATTGGCTTAATGGCGTCTTGGATGCTGAGTGGCACTGGTATCGTTTTGAGTACCAAGCTAGGGGAAGTATTCATTGCCACGGATGTGCAAAGTTTAAAAATGACCCTGATATAAGAGAATTACATAATAAGGCATGTGTTGCTTTCCTAGAGAGTGAGACAACAAGGTACGAAATGTCACCTGATGATTTTGAATTCCTTTGCGGGGATGTGATAAGACAGGGAGAAGATGCTGAGAAGTTGTTAATACAGTAAGAAAAAATATTTCCATATTAATGTTTCCAATGTGTATCAAGCTAACTGTGCAGAATCTGTTGTGGGATAATTGTTTCAATAATAAAATTTTATCCTGCAACAGGCCTTCAAATGCATGTACCGGGCACAATACCGGATCATAATTATTGCAGTAGTTACACAATACCGGACTCGCTTCTCATAGTCATAACATTGAATTTTGCATTTTTAGAGATGTCTTACTGTACCTCCTCAATATACTGCAATAGCATTTCAAGATACCATTAAAACTATACCTTGGCATGCTGCCACATGTTGATATCAACTAAAAGTGTGCAGGTCAAATGTTCTTGACTTGTGTCCTTGATATCTTACACAGTAAAACTCAAGTTGTACAAGAAGGTTGCATCAGGCAAAAGTTGTGTAATGTAAATCTGCCTTAATACACAAAACACTCACCAAATATCCAGCTAATAATATATGCAGATAGCCAATCTCCACAATTTTGAAAGGTCTTTCGCCCATCTTTTTTATTATTATGCATATTTTATTATATTATAATACGGTAGTATTACCTTTGCTACATTAAAATTGAAAAAGTAACAATATTTTACATGTAAACAAAAATTCCTTATAAAATTCCTTAAAAGGTTTCAATTTTCCTCAAAGGAATTTTCAATAATTTCTGAAGATTTCATTGGGATGTAAGAAATTACATAAATAGAAAGTGGAAATTTAACTGTGGCACAAATCTGTGACTGTGGTCATACAGGTTTCACAGGAAAATGTTTCACTCAGTCAAATTATGGTGTGATTAAAACTGTTTTATGACTAATTCGGTAATATTTGGCTAATAGAAAAAGCGCACATGTTTAATAAGTTATGATTATTTTAAAGGTATGTTGACTGGCTGGTGACAACTTTTAATGAGGAATTGCCAGATGAAAACTGGAGGATACCAGACCCTCATCCATCTGCTGTTAGCGCTACAACATTGGATAATCGTGACAATGATTATCACAGGTTAGTTAATACTGTAGAAAGACACACTAGATGCAGTCCAGCGTATTGCTTGAAACAGAAAAGAGTGGACCTGCTTGCAGAATGCAGATTTGGTTTTCCAAAGCCATTGCAAGAAGAAACAGAACTGAGCCTTGAGCTGGTGGTAGGTAAGAATACGAAGTCTGTTGAGTCTGAGTTACATACCAAACGAAATGATCAAAGATTAAATTCACATAACAGGGTGATGCTCAAAAACTGGCAGGCAAATGTGGATTTGCAAGTGATTGTAGATGAGAAGGCTTGTGCAAGATACATGGCCAAGTATGCTGCGAAAGGAGAACCCCGATCGAAATCGGCGTCAGAAATACTAAAATTGTCTGTGTCTTCATTACAGAATGATGACCAAGTCTCTTCGGCCTTCAAGAAAGCAATGATCCAAGTTGCTGGAGATAGAGATATGGCAGCACAAGAAACTGCACATATGTTACTTAGTCTACCACTGGTTGGCTGCACATTTAGTTTTGTTACTATTTCTTTAGATAACAGCAGGAAGGTTAATATTGATGCAGAAAACGAAAGCGATGAGGTACTTCAAAAATCTGTGCTACAAGAATATGCAGAACGTACAAAATTGAAGAGTATGTATACAGGCTTGTCTCAGCTAAATCTGATGCAATATGTGTCACAGTACACGAAAGTCCGAGGTGAGTTGACAAAACGAGCTAATCCGTACATTGTCAGGACATTTCCAAAGATTTCCGCTAATCCTGCTGGTCCTGATTTTGGTAAATACTGCAAATATCAACTAATAAAGTTCAAACCATGGGAGGGTCAACCGTCAAATGCTTGGAACAACAAGGATGAAAGTGATCAAATGTTTATTAATGCATATGAATTTTTTCTTATGACAGATGAATTTGCAGAAGAAAATGTGTTTAGGTATTCCGATGAAACAGACAGAGTTCATGATGCGCAATGTGGTCAAACCTTTGAAAACGATCCAACTGACAATCAAGATGATGACGACGAAAGTGAAGTTGACCCTGATGATGAGGAGGAAGTCGATGATTGGATGTTATTATGCAGAATTAACCAAGATTATGGGGAAGCAGGTAATCGGATGTCAGACAATGAAGCAGTGGACTGGTTTGAAATGGTAAGAGCTGTGCCTAGAGATTTATTAAAGGAATTTCAAGGATGGATTTATAGTCAAAGAAAGGAGGCTGAAGAACATGGTCAGCATTTTCAAGAAGATGATCAACAATGTGTAATTGATCCGGAGACCTTGAATGAAAAACAACGCCTTGCTTATGACATCATCACATCTCAGAATGGTGATAATGCCGAGCCTGTTTATATGATTGTGTGTGGAACAGCTGGCACAGGTAAGACATACTTAATAAGTGCAACAAAACAAGTATTAGCCACTCAGTGTGTTGTTACAGCAACTACTGGGATTGCAGCCTTTAGTATTAATGGTCAAACATTACATTCTGCTGCTCAACTTCCTATCTGTGAATATAGGGATTTGCAGGGTGATTCACTACAGCGGTTACAGCTGAGGCTGGAAGGTAAAAGATTTCTGATTATTGATGAAATGTCAATGATTGGACATAAAATGCTATCATGGCTTGACAATAGATTACGTGCTGGTACTGGAAAGGAAGATATCCCTTTTGGTGGTATGTCAATAATTCTAATGGGGGATTTTGGTCAATTACCACCTGTTGGTGATAAGCCAATGTATGTTTCAGGTAATCAGGTAATGGAACTGTA